AAGGACCTCAGTCAGACTGGGGCATCAAGACAGAAATTTGTACAAGAGACCGCATGGCCAAGTTGACATAGCATGCAGCGGTCTGGGTGGAAGGACAACATGGCTGGTCTGATGGAGGCCTCACACAGGAGGGAAGGGCGGAGGACAGAACTAAGTTCTCTACTGAAGGTTCTGGAGTAGTGCGTGAAAAGCAACAAAGGACAGTAGGATAGGGAGAACCTTCTAGAAACAGTTTGTGGACTATGCTGAGGGCAGCTCTAATATCCCAGTGTATTTCTCTCCCGTTTTTATTTTCATTTTGCAGCTGGGAACAGGGATGTCTGGAGTAAGATCCACTTCCTGAGCTCTGTTTTGAGAAGTACCCTTAAATGAGAAATAACAGGCAAAACCAAACTGCCTGGTAAGCCAGATTCCTGTAACAGGTCATCCAAATTGGGCCTCCCCAGGAAACAGGTTCAGGACCCTTGGGACCCTGAGCTCTCTAGAAAGTTGTCTCAGCTGAAAATTCTGCCTGCCCTGTGCATCCTTCAGAGATCTTTCTCCAGTCCCCATTCACTGAATGCTCTCTGGCACCTAGGTAACAAATTCCAGTCATTTCTGAAGCTCACCCCTTTCCACTCCTCAAATCCTAACCTTGCAGCATCCTTCCTCCTTCCCCTCTCTCTGCCCTTCTCACACGGACCACTGCAGTAGCCATCCAAGCGGCTGACTGCTCTTCCCCCTTCCTGTTGAGGCTTGTGCAGCCCAGCTGTGGTCCCAGCTCCCAGTCCCATCTTTCTCTTTCCATTCCTTCTTGTGTTACACCTACAGGACCATTTTCTCATCATTCTAGACAGAGAAACTCTGAGTACTATTCTTTTTAAGATTGACTGGGAATAAAACAAATGAATGAGAAAACATAATTTTATTTCCCAGTGAAGGGCGCCCATCTATTCAGAGAGTGGACTGTGGCCAAAACTTGACTAACCCGTGGTCACAGATCACAACTGCAGGCAAAGTGTGAGTTTCTAGTAGCAAGTCAAGAGAGCAGATGGCATTCGTGGTGTGGAAACCGGGCTGCACAGGGAAAGGACGAAGGAACAGGAGCCGTTGCATGGGTGCTGCTGTAGGCAAGAGCTCCCATTGGTGAGCACAAGAGGGGAGCATCCCGCCAAAGCCGGAGTAGCTGCAGGTGAAAGAGCGAAACACGACCAACGAGAACCCAAGGATGTTCAGAGGGCTCGAGGCAGCTGCCCAATAGTGTCTTCCCCATGATGGAAATATGCTGTGCCTGTGCCAGCCACTGGCCAGCCAAGGATCTCAATTCCAGGACCACTTCATTTCAAGTAATTTATATTGAAATAAGACCCAATGTGGCAAGTGACATTGTACTGGACATAATGGGGCTGGAGGAATGAAAAGGGTGGTGTAGATTTCACATCAACTAAAGATTTTTGTTTGTGTTTTTCAATACAGGATCACTAAGTAGCCCAGGCTGTTTTGGAACTTACTATGTAGACCAGGCTGGGATTGAACTCACAGAGATCCACCTGCCTCTGCATCCTAAGTGCTGGGACTAAACTTGTGTGCCACCAAGACCAGCATGCCAATTAACTATAAAACTAAACATTTTTGTTTCTATTATTTAACTCTTCTTCTTGAGATTTTATTTTTAATTTATATATACTCATCTGACTGTATATAGTCTGTGTACCATGCCTATGCTGTGTCTACAGATGCCAGAGGCAGATGCCAGAAGAGGGCACCAGATGCCCTGGGAGTTATTATATATAGATGGTTGTGAGCTGCCATGTGGGTGCTGGAAATTGACCTGGGTCCTCTGGAAGAGCAGTCAGCGCCCTTACCTGCTGAGCCATCTCTGCAGCCCCTTCTGGTTATTTTCTAAAGGAAAAATGAAGGAAAGAAGGAAGGCACATTCCCGTGGCTCAAGAAACCAGCAATCTATGGGCAGAAAAGATGGCTCTGTGGTTAAGTAGCGCAGACTCCTCCTGCAGAGGATCTGAGTCCAGCTTCCAGAACTCATGCCAAGTGGCTCACAGCCTCCTGGAACTCCAGCAGGAAATCATACACCTTTGGCCTTTGTGGGCAACACCATTTATGTGCAAATACCTACCTACATACAAATATATACATGTAATTTAAAATAAGTTTTTAAGTAAAGAAGTTAATAATCTAATTTAAAAAATGGGGCTCCTGTACGGAGGAGGAGCAACACACAAGCACATGAGTGCCAACGACACCTCCACCCCAACACATTGAAAATTACCTGCAGGACAATCTCTAATTCACAGAATGAAAGTCTGTCTTAGGGCATTTCTCTTCAATGGCTGACTTTAATAGCAGGGCTGGTAATTAGGGCTGTCCCAAGGACACATCTTCAGGGGAACTAAAGCAACTTTGTTTTTCAAGTCAAATGAGGAGTTAAAAAGAAAAGTTTGTCTAGTAAGTCTAAGAAGGAACAGGTAGATGGGACCTAGTGCAGCGGGCAAGTTTCAATGGGAGTAAGGTGTTCTGAATGCCTCCTGATTGCAGAACTTTGGTTCAGTTCTTTCTTCTCACTGGGGCCTTCCGTTAATGTGAGAATGAGCTCTCTGGACAACTGACTTTCAAGAGAATAGTTTTTAAAAAAGAGAGATTATCAATTCTAGACTTTTAAAGAATTGGAACTGTCTTCCTTCAGCATGGAACCATGGGCTATGAAATAGGAAATAGAGGAAAAAAGTCAGCAAGGCCATGGTGACAGAAAGCCAAGTTTTGGAGAAAATGGTATGGACAGGGATAATCAGCAAACAGAAAGTTCCCATGTCTGACTTTTTTATTTTAGTTTTTCTAGTTTCAAGATAAAAATAACAGCACTATATAGAAATAAGAAATTATATTTTCATAATGATATGGTTTATGAAGCTCAAAACATTTTTGCATTTGTTTGTGTGTGTGTGTCCACATGCACATGCTTAGCACACATGCAGAGGTCAGAGGTCAACTTTCAACAGTTGGTTCCTTCGTTCTACTATATGGGTTTCAGGATCATCATAAGCTTAGCAACAAAAGCCTTGACCACTGAACACCTCAGTGACCTAGACTTATAAAGATGTCCATACTTCATGAAGATAAAGCATCCTCCACAGGTATTAATTTTACTAAGGAAGGTTGCTCAGAGCCCAATATTGTTTTAATTTTAAAATGCTTATCGTATGGATGTTTTGCCTACACGTATGTCTGTGCGCCATGAGCACACTGGGCCTCTGAGGCCGGAATAGGGCATTGGATTCCTTGGGACTGGAGTCCCAAAATCTTCTGAGCTGTGGTGTGGGTACTGGGAACTGAACCTGGGTCCTCGGGAAGAGGTGCTCTTACTCACTGACCCATAATGTACCCAAAAGACCTTTCTTCTTCCATGCATAGCTCTTAGTATCCAGGGAACCATGGAAAAATGGACGAAAGAGCATCAGAAGGGTTGGGGACCAATTCCTTGGTCACATAACCTGGTAGAGGAATTTGCAGTTCCACTGTGGCATAGATGCACGCTGTACAATGATGTCTTGGTCCACATAGGGACACACACACACACACACACACACACACACACACCACGACCCTCCACTCCCACAGCTCTTCTCATCTTCAAGGTTAATGTTCTAAGGTATTACATTTGCACCACAGGAAAAATACAGAAATAAACTGTTTTAACCTCAGTTACCCATGTTTTCTACTCTGGATGGGATTCCAGGCAGTGACCTATCCAAAGCTGAATGCTTAAAATCATCTGGGGACCTTATTAAGAACAGAGATCCATGGGCCCAGCAGGCTTACTGCCTGAGGTTCTGATTCAGCACTGCTTAAAATCAAAGCCTCCTAGGTGGTTCAGGCATGAAAGCCAGATCTGGACCCATAGCGAGTGAGTCATCCTCCGACACAGTTGGGTGCTGTCCACTGTCGCTATGGAAACCACTGATGGAGAACTCTGTCTGACTGAAGTTTTGGATTTTATTATTACTTTTAAAAGCACATATCTGCTTCAAAAAATAGAGGGCATTATTTTTGGAGGAGAAGATGGGTTTTCTCTCCCTAGATATTTATATTTAGTGAGAAAAAGCAAGGCTTCCACAAAGCAGGACATTTTTCTCATTTAAAACCACTGGACAGAGAGAGGAAATCTTTTGCCACTCAAACCATGGAAGGAACTGACAAGGCGTCGTTCCCTGAGGAGAGCTCTCGAGCATCTGGACGTCCCTCAGACAGGGTGATTGGCTGGAGGAGCCTCTCACACCTCAGCTTCAGGTTGGTTAGAGTACTTTTCTTTCCCCCAAGATTCATTTTATTTTTAATTATGTGCACGTCTGTGTGTGGATCCACATATGACCACTGAGGCCTGAAGAAAGCATCCACGCTCCTCCTGGAGCTGGAGATGTGGCAACTGTGAGCCACCTGACTTCTGGGACCGAAACTTGGGTCCTCTGCAAGAGTAGCATGTGCTCCCAAGTGCTGAGCATCTCTCCAGCCCAGGTTGGGGGTTTGTCACCTGTGATCCACAGGGAGCTTCATGGGCTCTGGGAAACTCTTGCTGTTACATATCATGTATGTATGTATGTGTGTATGTGCATTTGCATATATATGGAAGAAGGGAGAATGCTCTGGAGGCAAAATTCACCATCTTTTCGCTATCATAGTTTTTGGGTTTTTGTTGGTTTTTTTTTTTTTTGAGTCAGGGTTTTCCTATGTAACCTTGACTGTCCTGAAACTCACTCTGTAGACCAGGCTGGCCTTGAACTCACAGAGATCTGCCTGCCTCTGCCTCCCAAGCGTTGGGATTAAAGACTTGCTCAGCTACCACCCAGCTCCCCAGCATGTTTTTAAAGGGACCTTCGAATATAAAGATAAAGGGGTGCCAACTGGTCTTTAGCCTATCCTGTGCAATTCACACAGGTGACAGGCAGAGGCAACCAAGGGGCCTAGGGTGTGGAGCAGCCCTGGTAGTCAGACCCCGCATGGTACTGTACCTTAGAAGCAGCCATCACAGCTGCTGTGGCTGCCACGTTCAAGCCCCTCTTCCCGAAGTGCACAAGGGCGTCGTAACTTCGATCTTTTGCTTGGACCAGGCAGTCATCAATTTCCTGTCAGAGAAGAAGCAGAGGCACACTGAACTGACAAGCTCAAATACATCCCTTCTCAACCTCTCTTCCCAAGTATGGGCTTGGCAGCTCGCCTGATAGCTGGCTCTCACTGGCCTGTGATGTCATGGATACTTTGAAAATGTGTTCATAGATGGAGGATGGAGAAAGACAGGCTAGTTATGGCCAAGTGCAAAGAGAATTCTGAGTAAGTAAAAACAGAGCAACTCACTGACCCAGCAAGGCCCTGAGTTGTCTCTAAAGTTCCTCTAAGTTCCAGGGATGCAGAAATCCTGCCTTTCCCTGAGAAGCTGTTCAACAAGACAGACCGACAGAATCCGGCATGACAGAATGCCACAAACAAAGCTTTGGTCTCAGACCTCAGCTAGTCGGTGGCAAAACTCAGGGTTTGTTTGTTTGTTTTTCTATTTTGGGGGGGATTTATTTCATATATATCAGAGTTTTGCCTCCGTGTACATGTGCATACCATGAGCATGCAGTACCTGTGGAGGTCAAAGGACGTCGGATTCCTATAGTTACAGATGGCTGTGAGGCACCACCTGAGTGCTAGAAGCCCTTTACTGCTGAGCCATCTCTCCAGTTCCTCTACACAGTTTGCTTTTCTGGAAAAGGACAATAACGATGGTGTTTCCCTTGTGGTACATGGTGAGGGCTAACAAGGCAAGCGTCTTGGCTATCACATGTGACAGCCTCCAGCATCCTCTTCATCCTCAAGAAAGGCGATGGGAAATTTGCCTGATTGCCTCATGTGTGTACTGATAGGAGAAAGTGGATATGGAAAAAAAACAGGCATTCATTTTGTGGATAAAGGAGATTTTAACAGATGCTGAAATAAAAGGACTTGAAGTCGTCTGCTGTCACACAGCCAGGGAAAGGCAAGGCGGTAAACCATTCTGGGGTCTCCCAACCAAAGCCAACGATAGTATGCTAGTTTAGCTTGATTCTGGATCACCTCTAGTGTATTCTGGTTATCTTTGTTTTGTGCTTTTCGTTGTTCTGAGAAAGTGGGTGTTTGGCAGGCACTGCGGCTCATTTCAAAGCTCAGTAAGGTGTGTGCCATCAGTCTTGTCTGGCGCTCTGCTCGCTAGTTGGTGAAGTTTCCTTTGTTTGGGGTGGGGGCGGGTGTCAGCAACCCAGCTGTGGTCCCTGTTCACAGCCTCCCCAGGAGGTTCCAGCCTCTGTGATCTAGAAGACTAGGGGAGTGATGCTTGGCAGGTCTGAAGACACACCGCATTTCCTCCAATCCACAGGAGACAGCGTCAAGGAAGACAGCATTCAGGAAAGGAGAGAAGAGGGACTGACAGCCAAGTCAGGAGGGATCCAGTTCTCTAACCCCACCTTTCTGAGACAGGAGGAGCTGTGGGCTTCCAAAGGGGATGTTCAGGGCTGTCTACAGATGCTCAATTAATTGGTCTCTCCCCCAAGCCTTCCTGTACAGGAAGTCCAAAGCACTGAACGTCAGAAACTGCAGACACTGACATACCAGAACTTTGTGTTTGGCCATTTTCTCGGTGCTTGACAGAAACGACTCAACTCGAAGAAGGAAGGATTATTTTTTTCTGATGGTTTGAGATGGTACAGTCCATCGTGGTGGGCAGAACACAGTGACAGGACTGTGCAAGGTCACAGTGCAAGAACACGTGACAGCTGTTTCTTACATGGCACAATGAGGAACCAGAGATCTCAGCGTACCAGAACCAGAGGCAGATAGAAACTTGAATTCCTGTCCCACAACCTACATTTGCCCCTTACACCCCATGTCCAAAAGATTCCACAGCCTCCCATAACAGCACTGCCAGCCGCGACCAGCTCCTCAAACACGGGAGACTATAGGGGATATTTCACATCCAAGATATGACAGACTCCTACTACACAATTGTTAGAAAATGATGTAATTAATGAATTAAACACTGTTAGAATCATTTAGCCCAGTAATCCTACTCTTGGGAATTCATTTCAAGATATAAGAAGGAACTGAACAAACTCGATGTAACAGGAAGAAAATTGGAATAATCTCAATATCTAGTAGAAGGAAACAGTTTCTCTCACTGTGGGCCATTAGAAAGACCATGCAGATATGAACTACAGTCAGTGTTTACTATTACAGAATATAAGTAAGTCTTTGCTTGAGATTCATTCCTATTCATTTATTTACCTAGTGTGTGTGCTGTTTGCGTGTTAGGGAGGGGAGATGTGTGCACCCATGCATGCACATTGGGTATCTCCCTCTATTGCTCTCTACTTCAATAAAGATGTTAAATCTACAGTCATTTACTTTGTGCATGTGTGGAAGTGGTGGGTCAGAATACAACCTCTCTCCCGCCTGGGTTTTGGAGCTCAAACTCAAGATTGTTAGATTTGATGGCCAGGGTATTTATCCTGTGGACAATTTAACTGGCCTTCTATACCTTTGTCTTTGAGACAAGATCTCTCATTGAACCTGGAGCCCACCACGTTGGCTAGACTAGATCTCTCATTGGACTTGGAGCCCACCACGTTGGCTAGACTAGATCTCTCATTGGACCTGGAGCCTACCACGTTGTCTAGA